GATTCAGCCATGAGCTTTTCGGCTGTCTGTACTTAACCATTATCAGTATTTGTGATATGGTACCACTGCTCCTTGAGTTTGCTATGACTAGCCGAGAATGTTGTCTCTGTGCTGTACTCTTTTAACTATTCCTGGCTTCAGATAACCAATATTTTTTTATGATTATAAAAGTATTTATGTAACAAAACTTGTAATAACATTTTAAGAAGAAAATTTGCTACCCGGAATTTTTACATACATTGCACGTCTGAAGTATTTGGGATTTTACATGCATATTGAACAGTTGTCTACACAAATGGCTCTATACGTTTATGGCAGTTGTTTAAGTTACATTCATAATTGTTTCTTACCTGCATATTAAGTGATTAATTCTACTTGTCCATTTAAAAAAAAATCTGGCCTCATTTTATTCAAAGGACTGAATTCCCATTGACAGTAATGATGTGAGGCAGATTTATTCCTCTATATGAATTCGGACTTCAGACAAGTAATACATACAGACATTTTACAGAAAATGTTATGCCTGCATATAATAACATACTTTGATAATGAAGATGTAACAGCAGAAGTTGTTGATGTGTGTTTATAAGAAACAGTACTTCACTACTCCTTTAAGGAATTTTTCCCACTATCAAACTGCACTAATTTTAATTGCATTTGTTCTTTTTTGAAAAAGCTGATTTACATTCATTAGCAATATGTTCTTTTGCTTTTGTAGAATGTAGGACTATTTCTATGGGTCAAGGCCAAGAAGTTCATGCACGCAAGCTAACACAGATGTCAATGCAACAGGTAAGCAAAGAACGTTGAAGTATCAGTCAATACTCAGTTTTAGGTTTTTATGGGGGTTTACACTTACACTTTCTATATGGTATTGATTCTAGGTTTTGTATTCTCATCTTGTGACCAGAAAGCTAAGCATGAAAAATTCTTTGTGTCATTATGTACCCCTGGGGTGGGGCGGGTGGTGAGCAGCCAGACATAGAGCAGGGGCGTGGCAAGTGGTAGAGCGGCAGCAGCACAGCGTCTGTGTGGCCCTGCTCTTGCTCCGCCCCGGTCCTTCTCCTGTGAGGTAGTGGTGTGGGGTGGCGGCACTCCATCCCCACCTGTCCCCATGTACCCCATGGGACCTTTCAAAGTACCCCCAGGGGTACACATACCCCCAGTTGACAACTCCTGCTATAGATCATATATGCATCCCAGTCAAGTCAGTTGTACAATTAGGGTGGAACATAGAGTCA